CTGCCACAACCACTGTAAAGTGGTCGCGGGGCGTCCGCGCATGCTCCAGATGTAGAGGCAAAGTGCATGTTGTATGTTCGTTTAAAGGGGATGGTTGGCCTGGCGCAGCGAGCAATATGACGGCACCCCCGCCGCCCCTGTCAAGAAGCAATGTAAATGTCCCGCGGGGCGCCCGCGCATGCTCCAGATGTGGAGGCACATTGCATTCTGCATTTTTTGTTGATAGGGATGGTGGGGGTGGTTGGCATGTTTCGGGTTGGCCTACAGTCGGGTAGGGAAGGGGACTTCTATTTACAAGGAGCTGCGACAGGGGGGTAGGGGATAAGGACAGGGACTGCAATTGGGGGCCACGGGAGGCAATTGAAGGAAAGAGAGGCAACGGGGGGCATCGTCGCCCGACCGATTCCGGATCTGGCAATGCACCTCATAGTGTATGTTTGAAACAACTACAGCGCCTACCTGCAGTCAAGCTGGTCAAAGAAACACTGCGAGTTCTAACAAGATCAATCGCATTTGCAATGTTAATTATGATGCCAGTGCTACTGCTAATGCTGCAGCTCCGACTACCACTATCACTATTACTGGTGTTGATAAGAACGTGAATGCTACCATTAACTCGACTAACTCATCGTGCGATTAATACTGATACTGATATTGTCACGGGTATCACGGGTATCAATAGTGCTATCTATCGCAAGCCTAACACAGACCGTAACACTAAAACACATAGCGGTCGTGATGCTGGTATTGGTATTGGCATTGCGGCCGGTACTCACATTATCATTTTTTTGCTACTGCTATTCGTATTGGTACGGGTGCTAATCAAAAGCGTACGTTGATGTTGCTAGTGATACTCGTACTTGCACGAGCATGGATACTCTCATTCGTGATAATACGAGTTCGACCGCGAATGTGGACACTCATACCATTACTACGGCCAAGCCGAAGGCGAGCTCTCACATACTCGGATGACAACAGTGGGACTCGCAGTCGTACCGATGCTAAGGCGGATGCTGTTTTGCTGCGGGTACTGCTACGATGGGAGACAGCGGTAGGAGGCGCATGTGGCAGGACGTGCGCGCCACAGGCCCCTCCTGCATACAGGAACCAGCTACTCTTCAGGTTGCGCGAGCCGACGCTATCCTCTCCCTCCTCCTGCTCCTCCTCCTCCTCTTCCTCCCCCTCCTCCTCCTCCTTCTCCTCCTCTTCCTCCCCCTCCTGCTCCTCCTCCTCCTCCTCCTCCTCCTCCTCCTCCTCCTCCTCTTCCTCCCCCTCCTGCTCCTCCTCCTCCTCCTCCTCCTCCTCCTCCTCCTCCTCCTCCCCTGCCTTCTCCCTGCAGGTCTCCGCAGGAGGTCGAAGCCATGACTTGTCCCGGGGTGCGGTCTGGCAGTCTCTTTCGAGGCGAACCCAGCCGCGGCGACAGGAGGCCTCCTGCAGGCCGAGAAGGGAGGAGAGGAGGAGGAGGGCGGGGAGGAGAGAGGGATACAGTCAAAACGGTGAAGCAAAGAACAGTTTACCAGTAGGAACTCGACCACAAGAAACCTTGCCCAAGAAATCCAACCCTGAGACCCCAGGGCGTCCGTTGATCTTTGGGCGTGGGAGCGTCACGCTTTCTATAGCAAAACCATTGAAACCCAAGAAGCCCAGGGCACCCTGGAGGCAAGTAGGGTGTTTCTTATAATGGTTTTTCATTGTAGGCACGAAAGGGGCTCGATTTTCCTCAGGCTCTTCTTTTTCGTTGATCCTCTGGCCCTCCTCGTGCACGCCGGCGCTCATATCGCAAATCTGCTTCGACCGCCTTCCTACTGCAAGAGTCTGGAAGTGTTCTCTTTTCCCTCATCTCCAGGCAGGCGGGCGGAAGCCCATTCTACTTCCAACGCCTTCCCACTTCATGTTTTCACCTACTTCTTCCGACCGACGTGTAGGCAACCGTGTGGAAGTCTCCACTCCCCCCCCCCCGCCCTCGGCGTTGTAGGGTCGTCCCAAGGGACGGTTCCAGTGCCGTCACAGCGTGCAGGATGGGCACGTCAGACCACAGTACACCAGAGGATTTCATGAACCAAGCATGGTCACGAGGAGTGCTTCGTTTTTGCAGCGGGAAACGATCTCCCTCCCCCTCGAGGGGACCGTCCTGTCGTGCCACGTGCGCCCCCTTATCATGAAGTCGGGCGTGTCCCTCTTCCACAGGAGGAATATCCAAGAATAGTCAAACAATAATATGGGGACGAATTTGGACATTTTTCTGATCTTCTTAATCGCATGTTTGGACTATTTTTAATTTTTTCTTCCAAAATCGGCCTGTGGGGGGACACGCCCGACCTAACCTTAACATCCGCCGACTTGATTTTTTCAGTCCGTAGCCCCAGGGTTCAGTCGGGCATGTCCTTCTACATCGGATATATTGAAAAATAGTCCCCAAATCCTCTGGGGACGATTTTCCCGACTATTGTTCAACATCTTTTGCTTATCATACCCCCGACCTGAGGGGTCCCGACCGCTTCCCTTGGGGTGGAACAAGGAATGAGGTGCAGTAACTGACTCAAGACGTGGACGATTTTTGCTGTTATGCGCGGCCCACCACTCTGCTATGATGGGATGTGGCCTCGGTGCTAAGCGCCCGACCGACCCAAGGGGCCCCGACGTACGCCCGACCTAAGGGGTCCCGACCGCTTCCCTTGGGGTGGGCTTCCTCTGACGGCCCTGGGGCCCGAAAGCGGCCCCCGGAGGCCGAGATCGAGGAGACTCCGCCTGGACTGAGCAAGTCATGTCGTGGGGGGGGGGGCATACGGGCTCCGTCGTGCCCCGTGCGCACGGGCAAGACAGCATCCTTCGGGGATGCTTTCTCTCCGTTCGGTGTTCGGTCCTGGACCTCCTTCGTGAACGCAGCCCTCCAGCTTTCCCGCCGAAGACCGCCGGAAACTGCCGAAGACCGCCGGAAACCGCCGAGGACCACATGAGACCGCTGAGAGCACAGTCAGGAGACCATTGGAAACAGCCAAATGCCAACGAAGACCGCCGAACATCGTCGGGAGACCGCCAGAAAGTGCCGAAGGTCACCGAGGACCGCTGCAGACCGTCAGATGGCCGCCGAAGACCGTCGACAAACAAGGGCTACGGTCAGGAGCTTTTGGTTGGCGTGTCGCTCCGCCGGTTCTGGCCCACCACGTGTCGGCGCGACACGCTGACCGCTTCCCGGTGCCCACGCATCAACGTTAGCGGGGCAACACGCTATCCGCTTGCAGGGCATAGCGTGTCGCCAGGGCCACCGCCGCGACACGGTAAGCAAAAGTTCCCGACCGTAACATCCGAGGTGCAGGCGTGGTGGTTTCTGCCCTCCTCCCCCCGGCAGGAGGCTTCAGACCCAGGAGGGTTCCTTATCTGATGAGGGCGGCGGTGATATCCATGGCCAAGCCTCACATGGTGGTCCACCGGCTTCCTGACCCTGGATTCCTAATTCGTTTTTTTTTTTGTTCTGACGGAGTGTCCTGCACTGTCGGCAGGGGCTGGGCTCTCAGGGGCGGCAGGCCCTGGCTAGCGCCAGGATGCCAGAGGTGGCGCGATCGCACCTAGCTGCCCTAGAGGCTTGACTGGTTCCTTATCCAATCTTAAGGCGGGCGTGTCCCTCTACAGGAAATTCAAACATAGATAGTGTGGGGATGATTTCTGGATTAGTTAACATTTTATTTTCGTCCAATGTCCACCTGAAGGAGGACACGCCCGACCTAAATCCAATGCCCTCACCGTGCGTAACACCCGATGCGCAGGTGCGGTGGTCTCAGGCCCCTCCTAATCCCGCGTGGTCCCGCTCAGTACCGCCTAGTCTGCCTCAGTCGGGCCTGATGCTGGGCTCACTCTGGGCTCATCCGGCTCAGCGGCCCCTTGTCGGACGGGGCTAGGACGAGGATCAATCCGTTCCAGAGCGTTTTGGAGCGCTCTCAGAGCGTTCCAGGGCGCGTTGAGAAGGCCGCGGCACCCGAGACATCCTTCAGAGCCGCCAGATCTCAGAGATTCTCGATTTATCTTCTTCGGACTGAATGCTCGTCCTGGCTTCGTCTTATCCTTATAATCGGGCTTCGTCTTACCTTAATCGGTTAAGTCGGCAGGGCTGCAGCTTCCGACCCAACCCGCCGCCCAATGTTTTAGTCGGGCAGCCCGAGGCCAGCTGCAGGTGCGTGTGCCCGCGCAGTAGGGAGGCCGAAGACTGGGCCAACAGTCTTTTCGATTGTACTAGGCAGCAGCTTGATACGCAGGAGTACATGATGCCTTGCGCTCGTGATCCAGTTGCTTGGCGCAAAGTCGTAGTCCATGTTGTGTATTCCCTTCCTTGCCCATCTCCTCCTTCTCCTCCTCCTTCCGCCCTAGCCGAGCACGATGTAAATTGAGGGACCGCCAAAGTGCCGCCGCTCCCGCAAGGCGGAGAGACCAGGCGGCCAGCATCCTCCTTTGCCCACGCGCGCTGGCGTATATGGCATGACCGACCGACTGCTCTTACGAGGACCTCCCCAGGAGTTGCCTCCTCACGTGCTGGGGCCCGATGCCCAGGGGCGGCGGACTCTGCCCCCCCCCCTCCTCCTCCTCCTCCTCCTCCTCCTCCTCCTCCTCCTCCTCCTCCTTCCTCCTCCTCCTCCTCCCTCCTCCTCCTCCTCCTCTCCCCTCCTCCTCCTCCTCCTCCTCCTCCTTCTTCTTCTCCTCTCCCCTTCCTCCTTCTCCTCCTCCTCCTCCTCTCCCTCCTCCTCCTCCTCCTCCTCCTCTCCTCCTCCTCTTCCCTCCTCCTCCTCCTCCTCCTCTCCTCCTCCTCCTCTCCTCCTCCTCCTCCTCCCTCCTCCTCCTCCTACCTCCTCCTCCCTTCTTCCCTCCTCCTCCTCTCCTCCTCCTCCTCCTCCTTCCCCCCTCCTCCTCCTCCTTCTCTTCTCCTCCTCCTCCTCCTCCTTCTCCTCTCCTCCTCCCTCCTCCTCCTCCTCCTCCTCCTCCTCCTCCTCCTCCTCCTCCTCGCGCAAAAGGTGAGGGCGCTGCGGCTGCCCACGGCAGGCCTCGCGCGCCTGATGCGGGTGCACCCCGCGGTGCAGGGCCGCTCGCCGGAGGCGATGGAGGTGCTGAACGCCTCCACGGTGCTGATCCTCCAGGCACCTCCTCCTCCTCTCTCCTCCTCATCCTCCTCTCTCCTTCTTCTTCTCCTCCTCCTCTCCTCCTCCTCCTCCTCTTCTCCTGCTCTTCCTCCTCTCCTCCCTCCTCCTCTCCTCCTCCTCCTCCTCCTCTCTCCTCCTCCTCCTCCTCCTCCTCCCCCTCTCCTCCCCTCCTCCCCCTCTCGTCTCCCTCCTCCTCCTCCTCCTCCTCCTCCTCCTCCTCTCCTCCTTTCCTCCTCCTCCTCCTCCTCCTCCTCCTCCTCCTCCTCCCTCCTCCTCTCCTCCTCCTCCTCCTCCTCCTCCTCCTCCTCCTCCTCCTCCTCTTCCTCCTCCTGGCCAAAGGCTCGAGGTTCGAGGCTCGAGGCCTTCGGGCGCTCTTGTCTGTCCCCAGCGTTTCTCCAGCCTCGCGACGCTTTACAGCAGGGGATAGGCATAGGGGGGGATGCATCGACCTCCAATCGCCCATTGATCGCCAGTAGGGGCCCTATAGCCCCAACCTGCTCAGGAAGGTGCGGATTCACTGTCGGAGGCCCATCGCCGATCTATCGGCGATGTACCTCCGATTCCAGGTCGACGCACTGCCCCCTATGCCAGTCCCCCCCTATCGTTGCCCCTCAGGTGCTGATCCTCCAGGCAGCAGGGCAAATGCTCGAGGTTCGAGGCTCGAGGTCTTCGGGCGCTCTCGTCGGTCCCCAGCATTTCTCCAGCCTCTGGATGCTTTACAGCAGGTGCGCCTCGCCAGGCCAGGAGGAGGAGGAGGAGGAGGAGGAGGAGGAGGAGGAGGAGGAGGGGGAGGAGGAGGAGAAGGAGGAGGGGGGCGTTTCGGGGGTGCTCGGATCATCCCGATTGGCCGCTAGAGGCCCGAGTTATGTCCCGAAGGCCACCGGGCGCCCTTCAGGGTCCATTTCGATCCGATCTGTCCGATCCGATTTCGGTTGCGGCTGGCTCGATCTGGTCGTGCATCCCGGTGCAGCCAGTCAAGTCCGGTTCGGTTTCGACTCCGTGCCGATGCAGCCCGATCTGACGGTGCCCCGGCTCGATGTTGATGGATCCTGAGGCAATGTGAGGAGTTCGATCTGCACGGGTAGCTCATACTATGCCCCCGGCCCATGGGGTCCAGCCGGCAGGTGCACGCAATGTGCCTTTCCTTTCATCGTCGTTTTGGTTTATCGTTTCTCCAGTAGCTTCGAGGAATGTTGTCCGATCTCGCAGCCCCCTTGGAGTGCCCTGGTCTGTGAGCGCGAGGCCGACCAATCATTCATGCAAGGCTTTGCCAGAACGCTGGCCTAGATGCTCTTGCCAGAATGTTGACCAGAACGTTGGCCCGAAGGCTTTGCCAGAGCGTTGCCAGAGCGCCAGGCAGACTTCCTCCTGACCGTACCCCGCCCGCAGAAGTAATGCAACTTCCCCTTGCCCACCAGAGCCCCCCGGGGCCCACCAGAGCGGCCGCACACATCCGAACAACCTTGATCCTGGATCGAGGGCGGCGATGACGACAGCCGCCTTCACCCTTGCAGCCCGCTGCGCCAGAGCATGCCCACATCCGCCGCCTCTGACCGGCGGCGAGCCCCGGGGGGAAGTGCGAGTGGGCGGGCCTTCTCGGAAGGCTCGGAAGTCCCCCGTCTTGGGTCCTTCAGAGAAGCTTCCCGAGCTTCCCCGCGGAGACGCAGAGCACTTCTCAGGAGGCGCGAGGGCCTCTGAGAAGCCCCCGCCGCCCTCTGAGGAGGCCTCATCCGATCTCACCTCCAACCCTCGCTCGCCGCCGAGTGTCCACACCCACCGCCTTGACGTCCTGCCCCGAACACCCACCGAGGAGCGGCAGGCTGGGGTGTGCCCGCCCGCCCCACGAGAGGAGGAGGAGGAGGAGGAGGAGGAGGGGGAGGAGGAGGAGGAGGAGGAGGAGGAGGAGGAGGAGGCGGAGGAGGAGGAGAGGAGGAGGAGGAGGAGGAGGAGGAGGAGGAGGGGAGGGGGGTGGGAGGGGAGGAGGAGGGAGGAGGAGGAGGAGGAGGAGGAGGAGGAGGAGGGGAGGAGGAGGAGGAGGAGGAGAGGAGGAGGAGAGGAGGAGAGGAGGAGGAGGAGGAGGAGGAGGAGGGAGGAGGAGGAGGAGGAGGCGGAGGAGGAGGACGGAGGAGGACGGAGGAGGGAGGACGTCGGACGGAGGAGGGAGGAGGAGGAGGAGGAGGAGGAGGAGGAGGAGGAGGAGGAGAGGGAGGAGGAGGAGGAGGAGGAGGAGGAGGAGGAGGAGGAGGAGGAGGAGGAGGAGGAGGAGGAGGAGAGGGAGGAGGAGGAGGAGGAGGAGGAGGAGGAGGAGGAGGAGGAGGAGTAGGAGGGAGGAGGAGGAGGAGGAGATGAGGAGGAGGAGGAGGAGGAGGAGGAGGAGGAGGAGGAGGAGGAGGAGGAGGAAAAGGGCAGAGGAGGAGGGACGAGGACGGGGGAGTTGGAGGAGGAGGAGGAGGAGGAAGAGGAGGAGGAGGAGGCGGAGGCGGAGGAGGAGGAGGAGGTGGAGGAGGAGGATAACGGATGAGGACTGAGGACGGAGGAGGACGGAGGAGGACGGGGGACGTGCCCGCACCCACCGCTCTCTTCCGGGGGTCCGGGGCGGCTTTCCTTCGGGCAGCTGCGGGTGTGGAGAGGTGCCCCCCGCGGCTCGCCGTGGGGGGTGCGGGTCCTGGGGCATCGGTTAAGTCGGGCCTGTCCCTCTACAGGAGGAATACGTATTCAGAACTAGTCCAAGCATAGTCTTGGGACGTTTTGTTTTTGTTGTTGTTGTTGTTGTTGTTGTTGTTGTTGTTGTTGTTGTTGTTGTTGTTGTTGTTGTTGTTGTTGTTGTTGTTGTTGTTGTTGTTGTTGTTTTATCGCATTTTTGGTCTTTTGGACTATTTTTTATTTTTCGCCCAGAATCGGCCTGTAGGAGGACATGCCCGACCTAAGGCATCGGGTCCTGAGAGGTTCCTCGCCGTCCTCGAGCATTCGGTCGGAGAAGAGACAACGCCATGCACACAAACTTGTGGCGCTCCGCGCTGAGTGCCAAAAGTGTATGTTTATGGCGTTGTTGTTTGCTTGGTCTTCTGGAGAGGTTTGTCGCCGTCTTCGGGCTCTCGGGGCCCTCCACGGGTCCCGGGGGCTGTCAGGAGACGGCTCAGGCTGGCGGTCTCGTCCTGGGGCAGGGCCCCGGCGGTCCAGGACCTGCTTCCCTCAGGGCCCGCTTCCCCCACGCTAGCTGGCGGCGCCACCCCACATATACTAATACTACAGTGGGGGCCCGCATCAAGAAACCATCTTCTTTTCGTCAGGGTATCCTGAGTTTCTTCGCTCCTCGCGCTGCGCGGTGACTTCCCGCAGCCGTTGAGAAGGAGCTGCTACGTTCAGGGCGCTCCGGGTTTCTCCTCGGGTGCACCTCGCCCACGGGTTCTCAGGGTTGGATTTCTTGCGAGGGTTTCCTGTGGCCGCGCCCGCACTGTGTGTGTGTGTGTGTGTGTGCGTCGCCCCCCCCCCCCTTCCCCGGCGCGACGCGCACGCCGAAGAATCTTCTAGTATCGGCTCCGGGGCGGGCGCTTTCCGGGCATGCCGTCCGGGAAGCGTTGTGCTACACGATGGTTCGACTTCATGCCGGGGTCGGGCGTGCGCCCCCGAGGAGGGTGCGTGGTACAGCATGGCTAGTCCGTCCCTGTGCGCCCCATCGCAGTCCTGGCAAGGAAGGTTGGCTTCCCTTTGAGCCCCGTCCGCCAGGCGGTAGTCCGCGCCGCACTGCGCGGCAAGGGCCCTGGCCACGGGCTGCGGTTCGAGGACGTCCGGCAGGCGTGCCTTGGCGCCAAGGACGGGCGACGTCGGCGACGCAGACGCCCTCGCCTCGCAGCTTTTCCGTCGCCCTGCCTAGACGCGGCTCGAAACACCGGCCAGGATCGGCTTCGGGGGGCGCTTCTGGGGAGCTCCCTTCGATGACATGCTGCCAGGCCTCCATGAAGAGAAGGTGGCCTGAGGGAGGAGGGTCCTGTTTAGTCTTCCTCCTCTGGGCTCGTTTCCCAGGCCTCGGGGCCGTGCAAGAACGACTCTGGATACCCAGCTTTCCCTGGGGGAGCCCTGAGGTCCCTCAGCACCCTCCTCTTTCATGCCAGGGCCCCCACTGGGCCCTCAGGCCTACGAGTGCCCCTCGCAGGCCAGCCACAGCTTGGGGAGCTGCGGTCCTCAAGGGCTTCGACACACCTCGAGAGATCGTCGATACGACGGGCTCCCAGGGGGTCAGGAACATAGCTACCCCAGTTGTGTCTGGTCGGCCTTCTCCGGCATAGACGGTGGGGGCGTTCGTCAAGCAACGTGCCCAGGCGGCTTCAGACCCTGGAGGGTTCCTTCCCTGATGAGGGCGGCGGTGATATCCATGGCCAGTTCACGGTTGGAATTCCGCTAGCTTCCAGTCCCTGGCTTCCTTATCCAACGATTCTTTATCCAATGCCCTCACCGTATCGGTATGTCGGCTGGGCGGCCGGTGCAGCGGGCCACGCTGCACCGGCCGCCCAGCCGACCTAGCAGCTCCAGCTCCAGCTCCAGCTCCAGGTCTAGCCCTTCCCCCCTTCCTCCTCCTCCTGCTCCTGCTCATCCTTCCTCCCTTCCACCCCCCTGTTTTTTGAAGAAGTCCCAGAGATCTGGCGGCGCCCTGTTTCGAGATATGGCCTCCTGGACCTGTCGTCCCCTTCGCCATGGCCGTCTTTCCATACAGAGTATGTAGTTTTTGAACGGCGCCAGGGCCCGAAAACGGCCTCCAGCGGTCCAAGACAGCAGCAAACCGGCCATCTCGTTTTTTGTTTCGAGCCGCCAAATTTGACGGGGTGTATCGGTATCGGGATTGTTCCTCCTCGTCTGGATCCTCTTTGTCCTCTTGCTCCTGCTGCTTCTGGTCATCCTTTTCCTGGGGCCCTCGAGCGCCTGCGACCGAGGGGGCGGGTCAGGGCGATGCTGATGCTGATGCTGATGCTGATGCTGATGCTGATGCTGATGCTGATGTTGATGATGATGCTTATGATGATGATGCTGCTGAAGCGGATGATGATGATGGTGATGACGATGATGATGATGATGCTGCTGCTGCTGATGATGATGATGATGATGATGATGATGACGAGGATGATGATATTAATGATGATGAGCATGATGATGAGGATGATGATGCTGATGTCGATGATGATGCTGCTGATGATGATGATGATGGCGATGGTGATGACTATGATGATGTTGATGATGCTGATGATGATTATGATGATGATGAGGATGATGATGATGATGATGATGATGATGATGATGATGATGATGAGGATACTGATGATGATGACGATGACGACGACGATGAAGATGAAGCTGCTGATGATGATGCTGCTGCTGATGATGATGATGCTGATGATGCTGATGCTGCTGATGATGATGATGATGATGATGATGATGATGATGATGGAAGATGAGGATCAAGCAATTTTGTCTCAAGCCAGTTTGGCTCAAGGAGGGAGGGAGGAGGATGAAGAGGTCATACACCCGTGTCTGGGCTTTCTCTCTCTGCTTGACCCTCAGTTCGACCCATGGCTTCCTCGTGGCAGGCAGAGCTTGATGAGTTGATGGGATGAGGATGATGATGATGCTGCTGATGATGATGCTGATGATGATGATGCTGATGCTGATGCTGATGCTGCTGATGATGATGATGATGATGATGATGATGATGATGATGATGATGATGATGAGGATGGCATTGCGATGGGTATCGAAGATCGACGGTTTAACGATTGTTCGGCCTTTCTAAGCCTTTGGGAGGCTGCGGATACCTCTTCAGAAGGTTTGCTGACCAGGATGAGGAGAACGAGCGCGCAGGAGCTGGCTGGAAGATGCGGGGCAGAAGAGGGTGGCATGGACCCCTGGGGGCCAAGGATCGAGGAAACGTAATATATATATATATATATATATACTTCCACACACACATATATATGCTTATATATATATATATGTATACATATCTTTATATATATGTATGTATGTATATATATATATATATATATATAGGTATAAGTGGTACGTGTGTGCCCAGGCTCATACAACAAACTCAAAGGGCGTTTGAGGCAGGAAGACACCATGACAGCAATAGCGAGGTCGCACTCGAGCGCAAGTGGGGTTGCCACACCTTGCGATGTGTGTACCAGGGCCCCCCAGGACGCCTCAGGAGGCCCGACTTAGATACCGGAAGGGGCGCCAGGAGGCCCCAGGATTGTGAGTGTTGTGTGGGTGTATGAGATGTGTGCTCTGTGTTCTGGTTTGTTTTGTTTTTTTCTTTTTTTTTTTATTTTATTTTTTTTTTTTTTTTCTTTTTTTTTTTACTTTTGTTTTTTACTTCTTCTTTATTTTTTTTTTTCTTTTTTTTTTTTTTTTTTTTGTTTTTTTTTTGTTTTATGTTTTATGGTTTTGTTCTTTTTTTTTTCGGTTTTTTTCTTTATTTGTTTTTCTTATTTTCCTTCTCTGTGTTGTGCGTGTTTTCTGTGCGTTGTAGGTGTGTGTTGTGTGTGTGTGTGTGTGTGTGTTTTATGTTTGTCTAGCGTGTGATGCGTTGGGTGTGATTTTGTGTCTCTGTGTGTGCATGTAGTTCTGAGGCCCCAGGAGGCCCCAGGAGGCCCCAGGCGGCCTCAGGAGGCCCCAGGAGACCCCAGGAGGCTCCAGGAGGCCCCAAGAGGCTCCAGGAGGCCGCACGAGGCCCCAGAAGGTCCCAGGAGGTTCCAGGAGACCCCCAGGAGGCTCCGAGGCGGGGTCTGGGGTACCAGAAGGTACAGAAAGCCCCAGGAGGCCCCTGGAGGTTCCAGGAGGCCCCCAGGAGGCTCCGAGGCGGGGTCTGGGGTACCAGAAGGTACGTCGGGGCTCGATTTTGGGAGGATGTCTCAGGCGAAACCGCCATTCTCTGAGAATCGGGGTCACAATCATTGACATTACAATGTGTTTTTGAAGGTTTTATGTTAGAATGTTGAAATTCCTATGTGTTTTTGGACCCTGACATCACGATCTGTGTAAGGGGTGCCACCGATTTTCAGAATTTCGAGGATGTCCTTAGCGAAACGGCCAGAAACATCGCGAACGCGGCGCGTACGCATCAATCGCCTCTGAGCTCTACTCCCTCGGAGAGGTGCGCATGATAATATATATATATATATATATGTGTGTATATACACACATACATCTGCCCATATGTATATATATAGTTATATGAATTGATGTGCGTATCTATGTGTATGTATATCTACATACATCTATATACATATATGTATATATATATATATACAAGGCGCGTGGATCAGTGACGGGTCTCGTCTCCGGACAGAAATCGGCTCGATCCGTCGCCAAATCAGGCGGCAGCGGCCCCATGCTTTCGGGGGTGCCCTCCGCGATCCGCGGATCTGCCGCCTGCGTTGATTCGTAATCCCTGTCGGCGTGCGCCTGGAAGGGTGGGGCCGCCCGCCGCCGCGCTCATCTGGGGGCGGCCGAAAAGGGGGGGGGGGGCTAGAGGAGTGAATCTCATGGCGGGGGCCAGGCCACAACGCACAACACACACAGACACACAACACACAGCACGCGCACAGGCACAGACACACACACACACACTCACGCACGCACGCACGCACACACAACACACAACACACAACGCACAACACACACCACACACAACACAGAACGACACACACAGACGCACACACAGACACACACAGACACATCTATATATATATATATATATATATACAAGACTGCAGTGGCGCTTCGCGCCAATCACCTTGGTCCTTGAAGATTGGTATGCAGGCGGAAATGGCAGGAAGGTCAAGCGGACAATTTAGCGATAACTCCTTGCTGCCTTTTTCTGGCATCGCCATTCTAAGAATATTGTTCGTTATCCTTCCTCCATGCTTGCTGTTTCTCATTCTCGCCATACCCTGGGCATTCTCCTCATCCTCCTCAGCTCTTTTTGCGGAGGCTCCTCCTTGGAGAGCCTCTGGGGGCCTCACCAAAGTTCTCAGGCTTTCTTAAAGCCTTCTGGAGGCCTCCTGGGCGTGTTCTGGGGGCCTCTGGGGCTTCCTAAGGCCAACCTGCCTCTAACCGCGGTCTCCCTGAACGCCCCATCTTGGGCCGCCATGGGGCTCTTTTAGGGTATTTTTTTTGACATCCACGGCCAAAGAGCCCCCTCAGAGGGGGTCCACATCCTCAAGATCGGCAGTGATCCCGACCCTTTTATAATCAGGGTGGAGTCCTTTGCCGAGCCTCTTGAAAACAACGCTTCGAGCTGGCGGCTTACCCACACAGGGCTTGGCGAGTAGCCGCACAATACCACCAGTCGTGTAAGCGTGGCAGATCTGGCAAACGGCGGCGAAACTGCCGTCGCTGAAATCCACCACTAAACACCTGTGCTCGAGCGCCCGCAACTTGGCGGGGTTCACTGTCAAAATCAACGAACAGTGGCCTGGGGACGGCTTGGATGTGGAGCGCTTGCACCTTAAACAGTGGAAGCACTGCCAAAATCGCCCAACCCAGTTCCAACTATGTTGAGGCCCCGCCGCTCTTGCCGAGGGGGGATGGGCCTCAACCCGAGCAACCCCTTCAAAGTTTGAACGGGGCCAGAGCTCAAGAAGATTTGCCGCAAGCCTAAGTGTGGCCTGCGCAACGTCCGCGAGATAGGCAACACGCCTCTCCTCGGACTCCGAAAGACGGGGGTGGAGCAAAGCTCCCATCTTCGCGGCCCTGTCGGCCTCTGTGTTCCCCCAAATAAAAATGCGATTCTCCAGCGGAAGGGACGGATCGTCTTCTTGATGGGCTTTGACCTTAGTCAGCTCTTCCAAGTGCTTCCCACCGAACGCACACGCTTGCAAGACAAGGCCAGCGTAGGGCCTGTTCGGGTGGAGGCGCTCGGCCTGCGACTTGTTAAACTCATTAACCACAATCTGTCAATCGGAGAAAAGCCTACTGTGACCGCCAAGGAGGTTGGCGATCGTGGCGGGGGCGATGAACTCGGCGGCCACGCTCGTCTGAGGGACGAAATTGCTCACTGGCCCAAAGATCCTATCGAGCAATTTTCCCGAGTGACCGATCATCACAGCACCCCATACACTCCTAGACAGGTCCTTGACCTTCGACTTAAAGCACGAGCCATTCAAGAAAATCAAACCCGAGATCTCCCTCAACCCCTGGGGAGGCGGCGGAAGTCCTTCCTCGGCGAACGCCTCTGGACAGAACTCGTATCTAATCGCCTCCAGGGCGGCTTCGTGACTCATAGGGCCAGGCAAATCCTTCGAAGGGTGGGGGAACAAACCCGACTCGCACAAGAAACGAAAAGACTGGGTCGAGTTCGCTCCCAGGTCACCACGGATGCGATCCAGAAGCTCGGGATCGACAGCAGCCTGCCTTTTGTCTTCACAGGCCTCACAAAACCACAGCCTGTGGAGCACCGTGTCTTCACTCCTAGAGCACAGGGGGCACACGTCGGGCACAATGTAGCCCGTCTCCGCAGCCCGAGACATAGGCCACAAGGCCTGGCACGTGAGAGCTCTAATGGCGCCCTTCTGCTTGGGGGAGAATTTCTTGGAAACCAGGGCCCTGGAAACCAAGTCAAAGCACAACCGCTCACCGTCGCCGTACTTCGCTCCGGCCTCAAACTCCAAGCAACGAAGGACAGAATTTTTCAAACACCTCTTTAAAAGGGCGGGGGAGGAGACAAGGAGAGGAATACTTCTTCCAGTATCGTCCGTACGTGTGTAAGAGTCGGGCACAGTCCAACCCAGTCTGGCCAACGACAGATACATAGCTCCCATAGGTCCCTTATCCGATCTCCACGTCTTTGGGGGGGGCACTCCAGGTGGCCTCCCAAGAGGACCGCAGCTCAGCCCACGTAAGCCCCCATGGGGACGCATGCGTCTGCAGAAGCCACAGCTCACGTACGTATCTAACAATAGGCGCCACCGAGCCGTACTAAGCAGGGTCTGATTCCAATCGAGTCAAAATCGTCACGCTGCGACCTCCAGCCGACGGCTTCAACGTAGAGGCAAACATTTTACGTACTGACGCCAGCTCTCCGTCAGCATGCCGTGCACCTCCGAGCCGTACTGCAGGCCCGCCAGGGGGCCCGAAACGAACACCTTAGCTGTCCTACGTCCAAGTACGCCCCTAAGCTTCAGTAGCCTCCTTGTACGCCTGGCAGCGTTCGACAAGCGGGCCCTCGCCTTAGCATTGCGGCCACGAACACGCCTCGATGTCCCTGCCGTAAAGTCAATCCGCAGGTTCACCGTGGTTTCGAGGGGGGGGGCCACCAGGGGCCCGAAAGCCCCTTCCAGCCGATGGGAAATGACAGTGGAAGAGGCGACACAAGCCACTTTGTCCATGGAGATTTGGGCCCTCATCATGCGAGTGATCGCCACCTCGAGGGCAGCCGATGACTCCTTTAAACTCTCGACCACAGAGTCAGCCGAACCAACCGAATTCAAAGCAGTGTCATCGATGTAAATGTCGAGCGTAGTGTTGGGGGCGATCGGAACGGAATCAAAAGCCTCCATCCCGTGAGCTTTGATCAGGGTAGTCGCCATCGAGCAACCCGCGACAACACCGAAGGAAGCGTACTGGGAAAGGGGACACCACCCCGCACAAGACCATGTATCTAGCCGATCGGTACGCCGACAAGCACACCGACAACACAACAGGATCGAAATTAAGCATGAGGCTCCGCTGCTCGAGCAGCGTTAAGGGAATCTGCTCGTAGTACTTCAGCATATCCCAAAAACTGCGCCTGCGTGACGGCCTCTTGCCGTGCTGGTCTCAGCTCGCATGGCCTGCCTCCAGACCACGTCTGTCGCCGAGCGGTGCTTCCCAGCAGCCCAGTAGGGCCGATCGTTCTGGGCCTCCCAGGACACCGCGATCGGGCGGCGAGCTCTCCCCCACAGACGGTAGGGGCTAGAGAACACCCCGATGGGGCGGAACCCAGGGACCGCCTTCGGGATCAGTGCCACGATGAGGGCCCGAAGTTGACTAGGAAGCACCCCCCCCTGACAGCTCCACCAAGGTCCAGAGCTCAGAAAAACAGCGAAGAGCATCATCGCCCAGGAACTGGTAGTGCCTCATGTGGAAGCCGTCCAGACCGACCGCAGACCTACGCGAGAAACTCCGAGAGATCTCTCTGATCGTCTCGACAGGGATGGCAGGAAGCGGATCCTGGGAGCGAAGCCTAATCTTGGGAGCCTGGGAGCTGGCGTGCCACAGTTTCCCAAACTTGGTCCTTTCCGCGTACAGGAGCTCCGTAGGATCCGCAACCAAGGAACCGAATCTACTCAGCGTACCCGTCGGCCTCCAAGCCGCGGGGTCCTTGGAAACCTGGTGGGCCCTTCTGGCACCCTGATTGATACCCTCGGAGAGCCAGACGGCCCAGTCCTTCCTAGCCCGAGAGATGAACTTCGTGTTGGTCGCTTCGAGGGCCTCCTGGAACTTAGCACCGATGGCTTCCATTTCTCGACCCAGATCTTCCGCGGAGGTCCCGTCCAGTCAGACCCGAGCGATGCCAGCCACACTGTCGAACAAGACCTCTTGGTCGCCACGATTGTCTCTGACCAGGGGGGGGAGGACTGCACAAAGCCTCGGCCAGAGCACGAGCCTCCTTGCCCGTGTGGGCCGACTTAATGTACCTCACCAGGCGGTGGACAGAGGAGTTTAACCATCTCATACCGTGGAGCTCAGGGTAACGGGGGCCCCCCAGGTCCCGTCCCAGGACGGGGCGCCACCAAAGGGCCACCCCTTTACCCCTAGCCCCAAAGTAAGATATGCTACAACCCATCACTCTGCCGAGCTCCCGCTCCGCAGTGTTGGCCCAAACCTTGTAGCACGTAGCCAACATCGAATCAAAAACGTCGGAATCTCCCCTCAAGGCCCGAACTCGAGCCTTGTCCATCAGCGAAAAAACCTTGCTGTAGTCCAGAGGTTGGGGCGAAGGACCGACAGGGGGATCCACAGCAATCGGAGGGGGTTTCCTGAAAGACAACACGTGCAGGTTGGCTAAAGCAAAAAACTGAACACGGACAGGGACATGCGGAACAAAACAGGCCCCCGCGTCATTCACCGAGGCCGCCTGAACCGCTTTAGCCAGACCTCCAGAGACCACAAAATAGTCATAGAGTTTCGGCTCCCCCGTCCCGAAGCACGTAGGTCCCGAAGTCGACACAAGCTGGGCCTTCAAGTTACTGACGAACTCGGTGCTATGCAACATATCAGGCAACATATCGGGCCCTGTTGAGCCGTTTTGGGGTTCTCTTGGACTGCTTGGAAACCCTTTCGGATGGTTGTGGGGCGATTTAGGAGCCTCCCAGGCGACTTCGGACGCTCAGAAGACCGCTGTCTTGGAGCGTCGGGAAGCCGAAAAGAGGAGAACCCTAACTTCACCAAAAACCTACATTACATACATTATTTTTCCCTCTTGGGGCCTTCTTGGGGGTGCTCTTGGAGGCCTCTTGGTACGTTTTGGAGCGATCTTTCGCGGTATGACGGCTTCTTGGAGCGCTCTTGTGCTGTCTTGGGGTTCTCTGGGACGTCTCCGATGACCCCCCTGATCGCCCTAGGTGTGCTGCGAAGGCTTGGCAAAACGCCCTGCGAGGCCCTGGGGGCCGCTTCGAGGCCCGTCCGAAGGGTCCCAAAGCCCCAGATCCCGGGAGTCCCGTTTTTTTTTGGGGGGGGGGGCGGGTTTTCCCCCCGCCCGGGCTTGTAAACATATAGGAAGAGGAATACTTATGTATATGTGTATATATGTATATTCCAGATCTCATGGCCCCTGCTTCTTCTTTCAATGCGTGTTCTGGCCCCGCCTTGGGCCGCCGACGTTCCTCGGGCCATGATTTGCGACCCCTCCTCTTGGACGCCCCCCTCTTGGACGCCCCCGATCAGGAGCTCGGCTTCCTGCACCCCCTCAGCCACACCCTGGACGCCTCCACGTTCACAACGCGCAGCGCGGCCGTGGACCTGGACGTTGACGAGGCCGGCAACGCCGTGAAGCGGTCCTTGGGCGCCCCGCCGAAGCCGCTCGGTCCTGGCCAGCGCGTGCTGGGCGCCGCCATGTTCGCAAAGGCTCGGAGGAGGAAATCGACGATCGACGCTCGATCCATGCTCCTGGTGCTGCCGCCCCCATCTTGTGCGCCAGGGGAGGCAGGGCATTACTAAAAAGCGTGACCCTGGAGCCCAGGAGTTCTACGCTTCGCGTAACCCCACTAGCATCAAGGAACGATGCCCAGGCGAGTTGCCCCGATAAGGCAAGTGGGGGAGCACGCAGCGGAATAAAGGTTGGGAAACCGTCATACCCCAAGTGGGGCAGGATAGAGGAGCAACCAGTGGAGGAGGAGGAGGAGGAGGAGGGGGAGGAGGAGGAGGAGGAGGAGGAGGAGGAGGAGGAGGAGGAGGAGGAGGAGGGGGGAAGGGAGACGGAGGAGAGGAGGAGGATTACACGGACGAGGAGAGGAGGAGGCGGAGGAGGAGGAGGTGGAAGAGGATGAGGAGGAGGAGGAGGAGGAGGAGAAGGAGGAGGAGGAGGAGGAAGAGGAGGAGGAGGAAGAGGGCGAACAGGAAGGCCAGAGGCCTCTTGGATGCTTGTCGGAGTCTCTTCGGATGTCTCGAGAGCTTCTTGTAGGCCTGCTGGGGCGTTTTGGGGGCCTCTTGGCGGCCCCAGGGGCCTCGTGAAGCGTCTTGGGTACCTCGGGGGGGCATCTTGGGGTCTTAGGGGTCTCTTGGGAGCCAAAGGCCCCGTCCAGGTCCAGGAGGCGAGGACTTCCCCTAAGGGAGCGGGGTCGGGGGAGGGGTGAACCCCTCCCCGAAGTGGAAGAAGGGGGGGCGGAAGAGGAAGCTCCCTAGACCACTCACGCCCTGAAGGGCTGGTGGGATTTGCCCGTGCCTCCGCTCGTGCTCCTCGTGGTGTCGGGGCGTGAGCGGGGGCGGGGACAAGACGTCGACCGCCCAGGAGAAGGCGCCGATGCCAGCGCCCTTACAGTGGGAAACCATGCCAAGAAACAGCCCTGCTTGCCTCCACGGTGCCCTGGGTTTCCTTGGTTTCGATGGTACTGCGATGGGAAGCGTGACGTTCCCACACCAAGAGTCAATGGACGTCCTGGGGTCTCAGGGTTGGGTTTCTTGTGGAAGGTTCCTTGTGGACGTGCCTCCACTGTACCACCACCCTTGCCCAGGCCCCCTGGTGGCGGCGCAAAGACAATCGCGCTTCGCGCCTCGCGGCCGGGGCCAGAGCGGCCGCTCTCCTCTCCGAGGGAGCGACGCGAGAGGGCGCGAGGGCGCGAAGGTAGGCGCGCGTCGCGCATCGTGGGGCGCGGTGCGCGAAGTGAGCTGACATACTCTGTGGGGGATCTTCATCGAGGGGTGGGCGACTACCCGTCCGACGGAGCTTGCCCATCCCCCCCTCCTCCTCCTCCTCCTCCTCCTCCTCCTCTCCTCCTCCTCCCTCTCTCTCCTCCTCACTTCCTCTCCTCCCGCCTCCTCCTCACTCCCTCCCTCCTCCTCACCTCCTTCCTCCTTCTCCTCCTCCTTCTCCTCCTCCTCCCCGGCCCTCCTCCCCTCCTCCTCCGCCTCCTCCTCCTCCTCTCGCTCCTACTCCTCCTCCTCCTCCTCCTCCTCCTCCGCTCCTCCTCCTCCTCCTCCTCCTCCTCATCCTCCGCCTCCCTCCTCCTCCCTCATCCTCCTCCTCCTGACTCCTCCTCCTTCTCCTCCTCTCCTCCTCCGTCGTCTCCTCCTCCTCCTCCGCCTCCTCATCCCTCACACATCCCTCCTCCTCCTCCTCCTCCCTCCTCCTCCTCCTCCTCCTCCTCCTCCTCCTCCTCCTCCTCCTTCCTCCTCCTCCTCCTCCTCCTCTCACGCCTCCTCCTCCTCCCCTCCTCCTCCTCCGCCTCCTCCTCTCCTCCTCCTCCCTCTCCCTTCCCCTCCTACCTCCCCTACCTCCTCCTCCTCCCTTCTCGCGCTCCTCGCGGTGGTAGACGACCTCTTCCTCCTCCTCCTCGCTCCTCCTCCCCCCCCCTTCCTTCTTTCTCCCTTCCTCTCTTCCTCCACCCCCCCCTCCACCCATTCCGACAGCACGTGCCCAACCCCCCCAGCGGATCCAAGGGGGGGGGGGGGAGTATTGCTCCATCCAGAGTACCCTTGCGCCTCATTTTCGCCTTGTTGGGCCTCCTGGGAGGCCCTCGTCGCCACGGCCAGGTTCGCTTCGAAATCCGGGTCAACACGCTTCCCGCGAGGAGCTGGGGAGCAGCTCGTTCGCCTGCTAATGAGGGTCAGCCCTTTGGTGGCCAGGGAAAATAAGCTCTAGTTCTTGGGTTGTCCTTGTTCGGGGTCGCCTTGGTTTCAAGGGTATGTGTTCCTTGGTTTTCTCTGGCTGGCTCCTTTTTGCGGCAGCGGTGCCAGCGTGTGCTCTCCCAGAGGCGACCGCCACCGTGCCCGCCGTGGGCGGTGCCGCAGTGGGGGGCGACACCGCCGATGCCGTCCAGGAGGCCGACGAGGACGAGGGCGCCGGCGGGGAGGGTGCCGGCGCGGCCGAGGCGGGCTCGGTGCGCGTAGGCGGCAGCGGCGGGCTGAAGGAGCCTAATAATGGTAGCGAAACAGGCCCATGCACACAATATAGTGGTTTCAAGGAAGTGCCAACGCAGACACGAAGGAGATCTAATATTAGAGTGATAATTAAGAGTGCGTATAAGCGTAGCAATCGTAGTAGTGGTCAGGGCCATGTGTATGATGCGAAGAAGACGAACACGAATGCGAAGACGGATAAGCATATTAAGAATACTAGTGCGACTGATGCTCTTACTGCTAAGAGGAAGTGGGGTACACCTAAGAAGACGAAGCAACGGCCTAAGCAGACACCTTTCGGAGCTCCGCGTGAATTTCTCGGGTCGGCGCCGGGCCCCGCCTGGCTGCGCCTCTGGCGCCGCCCCGTGGGGCGCTCGCGCGCCGGGGAGGGGGGTACAGCGCCGATTCCGGAAGTCTGCGCAGAGCTCCGAAAGCTGGACGCCTCCGCCTCCTCACCCGCTCCCGCCTCCTTCGTCTCGTCGCGCTCAGATCACTCATACTCAGACTCACACTCAGACGCACTCAGACTCAGACTCACTCGCAGTCAGAGCGCTCAAAGTGTTCACAGTCAGACTCACTCGCACTCAGGCTCACTAACACTCAGATCCACTGATGCTCAGACTCACTCTCACTCAGATTCACTGTTGCTCAGACTTGCTCACTCACAGACTCACCCATACACAGACCACTCCCACTCAGATCCATTCATACCCAACCAGGCCCTACTCAGAGTATTCAGATTCGTACGCGCGTACCACTCAGAGTATGATCATTCGCACTCGCAGTATGATCACCTCGCCAGAGCAGGCGTGGCATTTGGGCACGCCAAGGGGGAGCCGCCCTGGGGTGTTCCGCTCGCCCGTTCGCGCCCAGGTTGTGGGATTGTCTCAAGCGGTTTTCTGGTTTTTGCGCCCCGTGTGAGTCTCGTGAACACCCCTGGGGCGAGTCTCGATACCACCACAGTGCCGTACAAAAATTTCCCACAATAACCATCCTGAAGTACTTGAGGCCCAATGGCCAAGTGGGCGGAGCCCCCGCCAGGATAGCAGCAAAACTTGTGGATCGGCTGGCAACTGCAGACGAAACTGGTGGCCCACGGATGGGCCTGGGCTCAGGACCCCGCTGCCCCCGAGGGGGTCTGGGGCCAGACTGCTCAACGCTTGGCAACTTTTCGGCGTCTCGGCTTGGGCTCCTCCTCTGCCTCATCATTGGCACTCCTCTTGAACTCCAGCAGCCACTTGAGCAGCGGCCCGTCGAGAGTATGCTGGGCAGTGATGAAGAGATCCTCACACTTGATGCTGTAGCACGCCCGCAGGGCGCGATAGAAGTCGGGTGCCTTTTTCGATGCCTCGGCTTGGCTCGAAACAGCATGGTGTCCAACTCGGCCACGCTGACCTCGGACAAGTACTTGACGACCTTGGCATCACCCTCGGACAGCTTGCCCTGCAGAGCTCGGTCGAGCTGCTCGAGCATGGCTTTGAACAGGACAGAGTGGAGACCTCCCCCAAGGCTGTGCGGGGTGAGCTTGGCGTCGTGCATGTCTGACTCCTGGGCCTTGTCAAAGGCTGACCTGCGCTCTTTGTCCTCTGTCTTCCGCAAGGTACGCAACTGATCGAGTTCTTTCTTGGCATCATCTTTTTTGACCACACACGAAGGAAGCTCTATCCTCAAGAGTGGCCACACGGCGATCGAGAGACACAACAATAGGAATGAGCTTGTTGACGACCGTCTTGGTCGATGCATCCTTCGACGGGGGTCCAGCACCACGAGCTTCCGTCGGGGCCTCCGAACCTGCGGCCGCTCCTCCATCGGCGGCCTTCGTCCGAAGAACCTCGAGCATACCGTATCGTACTAGCAACACACCATCCAAGGCCCAATGCTGAGCCAAACTATCATACGGGGAGATTGCTCTGAATACGTCTGTTCTTGCACCAATTGAAGTGCTTGGCGAAATGACATTGGTCGGGAAATTTGATATTGCAATACTTGCGCTGAAGCGTCCATGAGGCTATCTGTTCGGGGGTCCGTTTTTTGTCCCGTGCTTTGATACGCTGCTGAACACCTTTCAGCCACACATCCCACGGGGCTTTGGAATAATCGTATATGTGATTTGCATAACTCGCTAACTGCCCACAGTATCTGCACGTATAAGTATAACCAGATTTGCTCACTGTCTTTCGAGGGGCCCGTTTTGCTTTGGCTTGTGCTTGCTGTAGTTTGCGACGGTTCTTGACGGGGAGAGGCGGGGGGGGGGCTTCTTGGATCAGAACCGGGGCTGCAGGAACTTGCGGAGGAGGGTATATCATCGAAGCCGATGTTGAACGCATCCGAGTCCTCCTCGGGGCCTCCACCACCTGCTTTCCTCGAAAACGACGCCGAATTGTCGATACTGGGGAAGGGAGTGGGACGGGAGCAGCAGCAGGACGCCGTAAAGATACCACCCCACGACATCTGGCAACATGGGAATCATACGAAGCTCGATGTACCAAGGATCCACATTGTGTGCAGGCCGAGGCGTTGCATATGAATCGCTGACGGTCTGGACGCAGCGTACCAGTGCAGAAACGTACGTGCTTGGGATATCCATTGCACGGAATGTAATCTTGGCACTTTGGACAAACTCTCGAAGTACCTGCGTACGCTGTACCCACTTCTGGGGCCTGTGCCGCGAGAGATGGCCTCTCCTCGGGCGGACGGTCGGCTTCTGGCGGGCGTGCCGACCTGAGTCGCCCTCGGAGGTCTTGCTTCACCAAGTCGCAAAGCTTCCTCCACTTCTGGCCATTCTCTTCGCGAGTGAGGTGAAACCATTCTTTGTGCCACTGAGGCTCTGGCTTGGAGCTGAACTTCATTAGTAACTGTATTTGTTGCCAATGCCAGCTGCGTAATGTTATGCGTCTGCTGTCGGGTGCTAAAGTTCCTGGATCATCTCTGAGTTCGGCTCCAAGCATTCCTACTTCCCAGCGCTCCCGATACTACCTCCCGAGATGGCCTAGGTACGACAGGGCTCTGATGATGATCTGGGTCTCGATGAGGTCCAGGCCGAACCACCCATACACTACATCCATGGTAATGTGTTTTTCTTCCATAATACGAAGGGTGGTTCCACGAGCTCGGTATGCAAGATATCGAATACATCGGCCTACGAATGTTTGGTATCGATCGATGTCTTTCTGATGGAACGCTCGGACCTCGGCCCCATATAGTAAGCACCCAATTACTGACGCCTGGAATGTGTGGCCCTGGATTTTGAGAGGCAATTTGGACCCCAAGCTGGTATCGTAGTTTCACCCAAACCCTGGATGCGGCTTGTATCCGTTTCGATGTGTCTGTCCTCGATCCCCCGTCCGTATCTACCCACCCACCTAGTACTCGAACAGAGTGGTGAAAGCCAGCTGGGAGAGATTGTGAAGCATCGTATACACCTGCTCTCATGTACTCGTCCTTCCCAGGATGGACCTTCTCGCCTCGGTCCCCGAGTACTTTCCCAACTAGGCTCACCGTCTCCTGAAACTGCGGCATGGTGGTCCACGCGGAGGTGTCGTCGGCGAAGCCCATGACTTTGAAATCCACTGAAGTCGTGGCCTCGTCGTTGCGCCAGTTGGTCCCACGACCAAGCGAGCACCGTAGAGACGGAGTCGTCTTGAGGCCTATGCCTGGCAAGACCTCCTTCAAAACACGCAAATAATTATTGTGATAACAGTTGAAAAGCGTACAAGAGCTGGCACATCCTTCCCTCAAACCACGGTGTAAAAGATATGGGTCCGACTCCCCGAAGTGCAACCTCACTTGGTAGCTCGTCTCGCCATGTAGTCGCCTGAAGATCGATACAATATTTTGTGGGAGCCCCTCCTTCAGCAAAGCACGCCACACAGGCTCTCTGGGGACAGTCGGACACGCTTTTTGAATGTCTGCTAAGTACAATACTGGTTGACTGCCCTGAAATTTCTGATAAGATGCTGTCCAGGCTGCCTGGTGTTTGTCCCCACGTACCCGCACTTTGGTACTTGGAACGTTGAACTAATCAGAATCTCTCCCATTCGGCATACAATTCGCATATGATACGTGTGATATAAATAACATCTCTGGTATATCGTCCACGCCTGAAGCCCCACTGCTCTTTCTCGAAGAAGGACAGACCCTCGAGGTACTTCTCCACTCGCCTGACGGCCAGGCGAGCCAAGATACGCGTAATCATACTGAGCAAACATATCCCTCGATAATTGTTCAAGTCTGTCCTCGCTCCCTTTTTCTTGTACAACATGAGAACAATCGCTTCGTGCGCAGAGATATCCCAGTGAGGCTGAGGACCGTCCAAGTTCGCCTCCGACCACATCCTGCAGATCAAGTCGTAGACGGCCCTCTGCTCCTCGACTGGAGCCTGTCTGATCATGTCGATCGGGACCTCGTCTTTGCCTGCGGCTGAAATCATCATGCCCTTGATGGTAATCAAAAACTCCTCGAAAGTCGGACTGTCGTCCAAGGATGTACACACAGGCCTCTGGATCAGCTCGCTGGAAACGTCGACTGCCGGAGTTGCAGTCGTGCCGCTGATCCTCTGAAAATGTTCTCGGCATTCGTCTGGTTTGACTTGCTCCACATCTTTGATCCAATCGTAACTGATGTAAACGCCCAGCTCTCGCAACAAAGAATACTATTTTCCCATCTCGTGGTTGGTCACCGCCCACTCGAGCTGCTGGCACAAGCTGGTGATAGCCTTGCCCTTCAGGTCGCGCTCGAACTGTCTCTCCACCTTCTTCGTGACTCGGTAGTTGGTGAGCGCCTGCCGCTCGGTGAGGGTGCCTCTGGCCGAAAAATACTCTGCATAACTGTCGGCAACTCTCTGCTTGCTCTTGAGCACGTCTGTTTTGCACTCCGCAAGAACCGGTATGCCACACTGCTTCTGTCCGCGGCCACAAGCCGCCTTCGCTGCTGTAAGAAAGATACTCGACACATCTCGCCATGCCGTCCCCGTCGTACCATTCGTCCTGCCGTCGATGAGGTGCTGGTGGTACTTCTGCCGAAGCTCCACCGCTTCGACTCCCGCCCCACGGGCTTGAGACCATAATACTGGATGACAGGGGACAGCACGGCTCGGATCTCTGATATGCTGAAGCTCCTGCTTCGTCATGCGTCCGAAGGGTAAGAAAGATACGAACTTGCCTCGGTGGTCGCACAGGGCGAAAGAGACCGTCTTCAAGTTTCGCCATCTGGATGGTGTGCCAAAAGAAGATAAGAAAACATCGAGCTCGTACCAAGTCTTTGCCACATTGTGATAGAACGTACCCCGATGGGCCAGGGGGAGTCGTGAGTCCACGTGGAGTAAGCCTTGTTCGTCTCCGAACTCTTGAAGCTGATTGCTCATCTTCGATGTGGCCGTGCGGTTGGTGTACTTGCCTAGGAACCCGCACGACCTGTCCCCCTGGCCCATATGTGAGTTGAAATCGCCTCCCATGATGATATGATCTCCCGACCGCCGCAGTCGGCTGATCAATAAGCTGCCATCCTGAAAATGTTTGGCACGTCGGTTCAAAGCCCAAGCTGGATTTTGTTGTGGCGTATACTGCGCTATGATCACATAATAGAAACCACGCATACATATTCTCATTCCAATCCATCTGTCCGAATCTGGTATAATACATAGCTCGGAACCCGCAGCACGCCATTTTCCCACCATATACCTTGACATAATGATTCCAACTTTGCCACACACGAGCATAGTATATTCTTCCACTGCTACAATAACTGGCTGAGGGGTATCTTGATACAACCAACTGGGGTTTGTCAAATCGCTGATAAGAAAGATATGACACTTCTCTGATCTGAGCTGCTTCACGATGTGTGCCAGTTTGGGTCTGGCCTCTGATGTTCCCCAAGACATTCCATTGGCATTGAGGGCGCCAATCTTGATCTGCTGGGGATTCGTCGGTGAGTTGCAAGCGTGCCACTTGCGCCGCAGTCTCAGGGCTCTCCCTCGGGATACCTGGGAAACCCATGGAGGCCTGCATGCGGCATCGGCTGGCTGAGGTATACGTCCATGTTCGCCAGACACATGGATACGATATGCTGTACACGAAGGTAGAGTAGTAGGACCGTTGGCCGTGTTCGCTTGTGCCGATCGCCTCCGCGGATTCTGAACTGTACCATGAGATTCCATAGTCGGAGATAAACCAGCACGTCAACAGCGTGAACACACCCTTGCGCACCATCAGGGGGTGGCCCTAGCACAAGGGTTTTTGCGCCCCCCCAGACTCCTCTCCATGGAGGGTCCCATGGCCACCGTGACATAGCAGGCGTGGCACTTGCGCACCCCACGGGGGAGCCGCCAGGGGGACACTCGTCCGTTCGTGCCCAGATCGTGGGGATGTCTCAGGCGGTTTACTTGTTTTTGCCCCCCTCCCTCCCCCATCCACCCCCCCAGACTCTTCACCCCCATGATCATCGCGGCATGGCAGGTTCGCCCGTTCGCGTCAGATTGTGGGGATGTCTCTGGCGGTTTGCTTGCTCTTGCACCCCCAGACTCCTTTCTTGTGCGAGCCTCGTGGCCACCGCGCCATGTCAGGCGTGGAATTTGCGCACCCCACAGGAGAGCCGCCAGGGGGTGCTACACTTGGCCGTTCCAGATTGTGGAGCTGTCTCAAGCGTAAGTCTTGGTTTCGCCGGCCCGCCCCCTCCCCACCCCCCTCCCCAGGGTCCTCTCTTTGAAGTGCCTCATGATCGCCGCGACATCGCAGGCGTGGCATTTGGACACTCCTTACCAGCCTGGAACATATCCCTAATCCTATGCTGGGCATCTTCTCATCACGATGCCATTCTTAGGGATTCCCTTATTTTTTGAGGGCGCATCCCTAAGATTGTCATCGCCTTTTGGCGTGTCCATCTTTGGGATAGGGGTGGGTTTGAGGCTGGTACACTCCAATGGGGAGCCGCCCTGAGTTGTTACATTTTCCCGTTGTGGATTGTGGAAGCGTCTCAAGCGGTTTGCTTGTTTAGGCGCCCCAGGGTCCTCTTCTTTTATCGCCCCGTGATCACCGCGACATAGCAGCCGTGGCACTTGGGCACCAGAGGGGGAGTTGCCAGATGGTGCTGCACTCGCCCGTTCGCGTCCAGATCGTGGGGACGTATCAGGCGGATTGCTCGTTTCGATGGTGGGACTCACTTGCTTTCAGAGCAGGTCGTGAAGACTTCTCGAGCGAGGCGCTGGTTTCAGCCCCCCTAAGGGGGTGCCGTCAGGGGGGGGTACACGCGCCCCTTCGTGCTCACATTGTGGGGATGTCTCAAGCGGTTTGCTCGTTTCGTGGCTGGGGCTCCTGTCCTTTCAGAGCAGATCGCGAGGATGTCTTGAGCGAGGCGATCGTCGTGGTACCCAAGAAGGGGCGCAGCCAGAAAAAGTTTTGCACGGGCCCGTTAGTGGTGGGGATGTCTCGTGCGAGGCGCTCGCTTCGTGGCTGGGACTCCTCTGCTTTCATATCTGATCGCGAAGATGTTTCGAGCGGATCAGACAACACGCTGCTTTAGGCACCCCTTACGTCTCTCCTTCTTAGAGCCGCACGAAGATCATCCAGATGCAGCAGGCATATGAGTTGGGGGTAGTCTGGGGCAGCTTTCTTGTCATCCTTCTCTCCCTCGTCCTTCCCTCTCCTTCTCGCGCGGCTGTTTCTTTCGCGCCAGAGTGGGTCGATTCTGAAACGCAGCCTAATACCAGCCTTACCGCAAGCTGTCACGGATTACACGGAATACCTTGTGAGGCGTCGCGGTCATCCCTTTCCTTTACTTTCTTTTTCCCCCAAGCAATAGCCGTTGGGCACTCCCAGGGGGAGCCGCCAGGGATCGCCCAGTCGCCTCAAGCTAAGATTCTCTCATTCAGTCATTCACAGACAACGCCAGGAACCGAGATGCACATATTGGGGGTCTCCGCCGTCGACCACATGTATGCAGTTCTTTCTTCCCCTTAGGAGGGCGGCCCCGACGGGGTGAGGGCGCCCGAGCCGGTGCAGGAGGATCCGCGGAAGGCATGGCACCTGTACGCCGCCGCCGTGCTTGGCTGGACCATCCTGGCCGCCAGGATGTCAGGGCCCCGTGGACCAGGACTCTGGAAGCCAGGGCTTTGCTAGAGACCTAGCCGGAGGAAGCGGAGGATGTCAGAGGTGGAAAAGGCACGGATACCGCTACCTTTCCCTCGTTCTCGCCTTTTTTTCTTTGGCCTCCTGGGAGGCCCTCGTCTCCACTGCTGGATTCGCTTCGAAGTCATGGTCAGAACGCGCCCTGGGTGATGTCTGGGGAGCAGGAGGAGGAGGAGGAGGAGGAGGAGGAGGAGGAGGAGGAAGAGGAGGAGAGGAGTAGGAGGAGGAGGGGAGGATAGGGAGGAGGAGGGGGAGGAGGAGAGGAGAGGCAGGAAGGAGAGGAGAGGAGGAGGAGAGGAGGAGGAGGAGAAGGGATGGGTTTCGTGAGGTCCGCGGCCGCCGCTTCCTCGGGCGTGTCAGCGTCCTGGTCTGGCCAAGCAGGTCTCCGCCGTGGCGGGGCTCCGAGGGGCGCGGACGGTGCAGGCCTCTGCCCAGCCTCGGCCCCGCAGGGGGTGCACACTCCACACCTGGGTGCGCGCCCCGGCGAGGCACGGCGGTGGCGTGCGGGCGCCCTCGTAAAGGGCAGATGTTCCACCACCACCCCACCACCACCAACCACCACCCCACCCCCACCACCACCACCAACCACCAACACCACCACCACCACCACCACCCACCACCACCGACCAACCACCACCGCCGCCGCCGCCGCCGCGCCGCCCCACCACCGACCACCACCACCACCACCCACCACCACCCCCACCACCACCACTCACCACCACCACCACCACCACCGACCACCACCACCAACCACCACTCACCACCACCACCACAACCCACGCACCACCACCACCACCCACCACCACCAACACCACCACACCCCCACCACCACCACCACTCGACCACCACCACAACCACGCGCGTTGCGGGGAGTAAGGGAGGATGAGGAGCTCTCCTGAGCCTCCTGCTCCTGCTTCTCCTCCTCCTGCCCTGCTCTCCTTCTCCTCTGCTCCTGCTCCTCCTGCTCCTGCTCCTCCTGCTCCTGCTCTCCTCCTCCTCCTCCCTCCTCCTCCTCCTCCTCCTCCCTCCACCTGTTAATTTCCTTATTCCCCTCCTCCTCCTCCTCGTCCTCGGCCTCCTCCTTGCCTCTCCTCCTCCTCCTCCTCTTCCTCCTCCTCCTCCTCCTCCTCCCCGTCCTCCTCCTCCTCCTCCTCCTCCTCCTTCTACTCCTCCTCCTCCTCCTTCTACTCCTCCTCCTCCTCCTCCTCCTTCTCCTTCCTCTCCTACATATGGTAGTGGTGGTGGACAATGGGCCCATCTCCTCGGCGTGCGTGATCGGCGTCGAAATCCGAACCCTACCCTCGCTGGTCAACGATGCAGGCAGCTCGATGGGCGGCGGGGGGAGGGGTAGGAATTCGTCGAGGGCGTGGCGAGATTCTAGCTCTGCGCCCGCTTCCCATCGATTAAGAAGAATCGATGGCCGCTGAGGGCAGTGTGCGGATGTCGCTATTTACAGGTCGGCGGCGAGCGAGGGGGGGAAGTGAGAAGGAGGAGGCCTTCTCAGAAGGCGGCGGGGCTTCTCAGAAGCCCTCCGGCCTCCTGAAAGGTTTCCCCTGCGCCTCCCGGGAAGGCCCAGAGTACTCCTCAGAAGGCTGGGGGGCACATCCGAGCCTTCTGAGACGGCCCGCCCCTTCTCTCAGGCGATCGCAAACATGGATCAATGGGGCTCGGATTAGCGGCGGGTCCTGTTTCCATGGGGGATCACGGACTTCCGCCGCCGAGCGAGGCGGCACTGGCCGCATTTCGGGGAGGGCACCTCCCCCGATCCATGGATGTGGCGACCGCGCGCCAGATCCATGCATCGCTAATCCATGTTTGCCCGCCCCCGATTCTCACTTCCCACCTGGGCTGGCCGCCGAATGTTAAGTCGGGCGTGTCCCTGTACAGGAGGAATCTCCAGACATAGTTCCCAAACAACCTGTGTTGTTGGGTCCTCGTTTTGAAGACACGGTGCCCGCGTCTCCTCCTCCTCCTCCTCCTCCTCACTCCTCCCCTCCCCTCATCATCATCATCATCATCATCATCATCATCATCATCATCATCATCATCATCATCATCATCATCATCATCATCATCATCATCATCATCATCATCATCATCATCATCATCATCATCATCATCATCATCCATCATCACCATCATCATTATCATCATCGTCATCATCGTCGTCATCAGCATCGTCAACATCAGCATCATCAACATCATCACACGTTTCGTTGCCCCATAGGGGGAACCACCGAAGGTCCCCGTGGCGCAGTCCGTATGCGTCTCCCCCACCAAGTACAGCGTTTCGTGGCCCCGTCGGGGCTCCGCCGAAGGTCCCCGTGGCGCAGTCCGCACGCGTCTCCCTCACCCAGTACAGGGTTTCGTGGCCTCATATGGAGCCCCACCGAAGGTCTCTGTGTCGCAGTCCGCATGCGTTCCCCCCACCCAGTACAGCGTTTCGTGGCCCCATAGGGGCTCCGCCGAAGGTCCCCGTGGCGCAGTCCGCATGCGTCTCCCGCACCCAGTACAGCGTTCCGTGGCCCCATATGGAGCCCCACCGAAGGTCTCCGTGGCGCAGTCCGCATGCGTCTCCCCCACCCAGTACAGCGTTTCGTGATCCCATAGGGGCTCCGCCGAAGGTTCCCGTGGCGCAGTCCGCATGCGTTTCCCCCACCCAGTACAGCGTTTCGTGGCCCTATATGGGGCTTCGCCGAAGGTCCCCGTGGCGCAGTCCGCATGCGTTTCCCCCGCCCAGTACAGCGTTTCGTGGCCCCATAGGGGCTCCGCCGAAGGTCCCCGTGGCGCAGTCCGCATGCGTCTCCCTCACCCAGTACAGCGTTTCGTGGCCCCATATGGAGCCCCACCGAAGGTCTCCGTGGCGCAGTCCGCATGCGTCTCCCCCACCCAGTACACCTCCGTCGGAGGCCGTCGGAGTTCCGCGCCTTGCTCGCCCGTAATCGCTCTGCCCAGCTGCAAGAGACTTTCCCGCTATCAGCCAGCCAGCTAGCTCTCTTTGCTCCGCGCAGCGGACGGCCCGCGCGCGTCGCTGGGACCCCTCCGGGGCGACCTGCGCGCGTCGCGGGGACTCCGCGCTGCGCTGCGCCTGCAGCCTTGGACTTTTGAGTGCGCGGTCAAAGAGGGAGTAAAAGAAGGGGAGGAAGCGGGCGCGATCCTCGCGGGGGGGCGCGCCGACATTGGCGTCGCGGCGCGCGGGCGCTGCCGTCGGGGAGTCCTGGGGAAACTCCTTGCGGCGGCCACGCCCAGCGTCACGAGTACTCAGAGGCTGTCGTTCTCAAACTATTGACATTCATATACAATTACAGCATGCTTTGTCATACTCGCATTCATGCACGTAGACTCGCTCGCACGCAGATTCATTCAGAGTCAGACGCACTCGCGCTCATATTCACCCGCGCTCAGTCTCCCTACGTACTCAGATCAATCGTTTTCGTTCGCGCTGTGTACCACGCCACCCATTTCGGCGCACCCCTAGCACGGTTCGTTGCCTCATAGGGATCACCACCGAGCAAGTGAATCACAATTGCGGCACTCACACCTGCGTATGGTTGGGTCTTTCGTCAGGCTAATTTTAAAATCGTCAAGGGACGATGTTTGGAGCATTTTTGTCCACTTTTGGCCGAACAGGAGGAGCCAGGGGGGCCAGCCGCCAGGAGGGGCAAGGCGCCGGGCAAGAAGCTGATGGGCCTGTTTTCCAGCACCACTACCATAATATGGAGGGAGGAAGGAGGTGGAGGACGAGGAGGAGGAGGACGAAGAGGAGGAGGAGAAGCAGGTGGAGGAGGAGGAGGAGGAGGAGGAGGAGGAGGAGGACAGGAGGAGGAGGAGGAGGTGATGAGGAGAGGAGGAGAGGATAGGAGGAGAGGGAGGAGGAGGAGGGAGGAGGAGAGGAGGAGGAGGAGAGGAGAGGAGGAGATAGGAAGGAGGAGGAGAGGAGGAAGGGGAGGAGTAGGAAGAGGCAGGAGGATGAGGAGGAGGAGGAGGAGGAGGAGGAGGATGAGGAGGAGAAGGAGGAAGGAGAGAAGGAGGAAGGAGGAGAGGAGGAGAGGGGCAGGAGGATGAGGGGATGGATGAGGAGGAGGGAAGGAGGAGTGAGTAGGAGGAGGAGGAGGAGGATGAGGAGGAGGAGGAGAAGGAGGAGGATGATGCGGAGAGAGAGGGGGAGGAGGAGGAGAGAGGGGGGAGGAAGGAGGAGGAGGAGTGGAGGAGGAGGAGGAGGAGGAGGCGGATGAGGAGGAGGAGGAGTAGGGAGGAGGATGCGTGGAGGAGAGGAGGAGGAGGAGAGGAGTAGGCGGATGATTATGATGGATGAGTATGTAGAGTGCGGACTGAGGAGTAGAGTATGTTTAGTCATTTAGTAGGAGGAGGAGGAGGAGGAGGAGGACCCCCTCCCCCTCCAACTCATGGTGGTGGTGGTGGAAAACGGGCCCATCAGAAGCGGCGGGCGCCGGCTTCCGCTCAGAAGGCCCCGGCGAAGGCCCCGCGCAGGGGCAGCGGCCTCGCGGCGCCCCCTGCGGTTGGCGGCCTCGCGGCGCTGTTCCGCGCGGGCGCGGGCTGAGCTCGTCGTGGCGAAGGCATGGGCGCCGCGGCACTCGGCAGGCCTCGGGGGAGGGCGGCGCTGTGTCCTTGCACCCCGGAGCCTCCACGGGCCCGGGTCTCCGCGGCAAGAATGAAGTCGGGCCTGTCCCTCTACAGGAGGACTATTCAACAAATCGTCCAAAAATAGTACGGGGACGATTTCTTTTGGCTTTTTTAGGGCGGGGGATATTTTTTTATGTTTCGTCCAGAATCCGCCTGTAAAGGGACATGCCCGACCTAAGGCAAGAATCATGGATGCTCTCCAGGTCTTTGGGCACGTTGGGGGTCCCCGTCGGGGCGCCATGCTGAGCAACGCCGGTCCCCTTGTGACTCGCTGCTCCCTGGGTGGCCCAAAGGCAGCCCGACAGCCCCCAAGAGAGCCCCAAGAGGGGTGGTGGGTGGTTGTCATTGCACAAGGGAAGCAAGTCCCTAGCAGAGCAACACGCACCACGACCACGACGACGGCGACAACGACGACGGAGACGAGTCAGGGAGCCACCGCGGTTTGGTCTGGGCGCACAGCGGACCGGTGCAGGCACCAGTAGGGCTCATTTCGATTCCTCCGATTCGATTCGATTTCGATGCCCTCCGATTCCGATTCTGTTCGACTTCGGATTCCGATTTGGATTCCGCTTCCTCAATGGGGGCCTACTAGTCTGCCGATTTGTTCCGGTTCGACTTCTTCCGACGTGGCTGCCGATTTCCGCCGATCCGATTCGTTTCGATCGCCGATCCGACTTGTCGATCCGATCCTGGGCTCCCCTGCCAGTGGCGCAGGATGCTTCGCTTCTCGGGTGCTGCGCCAGCATTGTCCCGGGCCCCACGGTGCCCTCAAGCTGCCCTACGGGGCCCAATCATATACACTTAAGTCGGGCGTGTCCCTTTACGGGGGGAGTATTCAAAAGTAGTAGAACTAGTCTGGGAATGATTCTTCGAATATTATTAGCGTATTTTTCGAGTAAGTTCGGGGTATTTTTATTGTTCGTCCAAAGTCCGCCTGTAAGGAGGACATGCCCGACCCAATCATATACACCACCAACACCACCACCACCACCACCACCACCACCACCACCACCACCACCACCACCACCACCACCACCACCACCACCACCGCCACCGCCACCGCCACCGCCACCGCCACCGCCACCGCCACCGCCACCGCCACCGCCACCGCCACCTCCATCGCCACCGCCACCGCCACCGCCACCGCCACCGCCACCGCCAACGCCACCGCCACCGCCACCACCACCGCCACCGCCACCGCCACCACCATACCACCACCGCCACCACCACCACCATCGCCACCGCCACCGCCACCGCCACCACCACCACCACCACCACCACCACGCACCGCCACCGGCACACCACCACCCCCACCACCACCACCGACCACCACCACCACCACCACCACCACCACCACCCACCACCCCACCACCACCCCACCACCACCACCACCACACCACCAC